AATAGGGTTGGACGCAAAGAGTTTGGGGCTGCTGCCTGGGTCCCAGTCCAGGGATGGCTGTGAGGCCACAGCCCCTGGCAGGCCCCAGAAGGGAAAAGGTGGTCTGGGACAACTTCAAGCAAACCAACATCAGAATTATGGGGGGTCCCAGATGACAGAGAGCAAGATACCGAAAACATACTGAAAGAAATAGTGACAGAAAACTTCCCCCACCTGGGGAAAGAAATAGTCTTACAAGTCCAGGAAGCGCACAGAACCCCAAACAAAAGGAATCCAAAGAGGACCACACCAAGGGACATCATAATTAAAATTCCAAGAGCAAAAGACAAAGAGAGAGTATTAAAAGAAGCAAGAGAAAAGCAGGTAGTTACCTATAAAGGAGCACCCATACAATTGTCAGCTGATTTCTCAACAGAAACCATGCAGGCCAGACGGGAATGGCAAGAAATATTCAAGATGATGAATAGCAAGAACCTACAGCCAACAATACTCTACCCAGCAAAGCTATCACTCAGAATCGAAGGCCAGATAAAGAGCTTCACAAATAAAAATAAGTAAATAAATAAATAAATAAATAAAGCTAAAGGAGTTCATTGCCGCCAAACCAGAATTATATGAATTGCTGAAAGGGGTTCTTTAGGAAGAGGAAGAAGATAAACATAAAAATTATGAACAACAAATACATAACTATCAACAAGTGAATCTAAAAGCCAGGGGAATTAAAAAACCTGATGAACAATATTAACTGGTGAATAAAATAGAATCAGAGGTATGGAAGGGGAATGAACTGACAATTCTCAGGGGGGAAAGGGAGTGGGGGAAGGGGGAAGATACTAAACATAAACTGTGCACCTATGGATGAGGACAATGGGGGGTGGGGAAAGGGCAGAGGGTGGGATGGGAACCTGGTGGAGAGGAGCGATGGAGGGGGGAAAAATGAGGAACATTTGTAATAATCTGAACAATAAAGATTTATTTAAAAAATAAATACATAAATAAAAGGAGGGCAAAGGTGGGAAAGGGGAGAATGGGAAACTTCTGTAACAGAGTCAACAAGACAGACAAGATCAGCAGAAGGGGCAAACGTGTACTATCCTGTGGCATTTCATACATTCACCATCTTGTGCAACCATTGCCTCTACCTCATTTCAAATTGTTGTCATCATACCCCCAGCCCCCCAAAAGAAATGCTGAGCCCATCTTACCGGTGTGGGTCTGTCCCAGGCACAGGACCTACATGACATGTATATACAGAGAGATGCCTGTGGCAGGATTGGCTCATACAATTCAGGAGTCTGGCAAGGCCAAAATGTGCAGGGAGGGCTGCTGGCAGGAGACCAGGAGACCTGCTGTTACAGTTGAAGCCCCAGGGAGTCAGCCGGCGGCGTCCAGGGGTCCGTCCTGTTCTCTTCAGTAGATACGAGGAGGCCCAACCACATGGTGGAGGACAGTTTGCGTTCCTCCCATGACTTAGTGGCCCTGGGGGGCTGGGTTGGGGATCGTGGTGATACCCACAACAGCGAGATGAGGTTTCATCCCTCCTCCCCAGCCCATATGGCATCTCACACACACAGAGAATGAAGAAATCTCACACCAGAAGATTGAAGCCAAAGTGTGGAAACTTTATTGCAAGCACATTGAGACTCCCACATGGGGAGAGGCTCAGTCATGGTTGCCCCTGAAGGCTGGGGTCTAGGGGTATATACTTGCTACAAACCTGCTCTCTATCGCCCCCTGTGGCCACCTCATGGATCCTCTCCATTGTTGTTGCCCAGAAGCAGACCTGAACCTTCTAGGTCCCTCTGCCTCAGCTCACCTGATTGTGGCAGCCCCTCCCTAGTTCCCCTGCCTCCCTTCTGAGTCTATAATAAAATCATCCTGTTATTTCTGTGAGGCTGGCTTCCACAGTCAGGCTGGCTCAGGTGGCTAGGTCTGCTCTGCCTACACTCCACCGGCCTTTGTCTCCCCTGGACCCTGCCTTGTCTGCCTGCTGGTCAATCAGGCTGACTCCTCTCTAGGGTCCTAGGAAGAGGAGGGGTTGAGGCCAAGCATCCTAACCCACGTGGGCCTGGGTGTTCTTGTCCTTGAAAAACAGTGGGAGCAGATCTGGGTGTCCTGGGCTCCAGCGTGAGCCTTGGGGCACTCAGGGAGCTCCCTGCTGGCGCCCTGGGGTCCTCTTTCTCTGGGGGGAGGGGCTCCCTTGTGGTTACTCCTGTGTTCGCTGTGGGGTCCTGCGCTGGCTGAGCCCAGCTTCCACCAGAATCGCCACCAGGATCAGCAGGACCACGCCCGCCAGAATCAGGCTGATGCTGTTCTCCACACTGTAGTTCTGGGAGGCGGGGCCTAGAAGCAGAGGACAGGGTCACTGACAGGTGGACACCACCCTGTCAGTGACCCTAGGAGACAGGAGCCCATGCCCAGCAGAGCCTTGAGGACGGGACGTCCCAGGCTGATGTCCCTCTTCCCCAGCCCACAGCTCTACAAGTCGGGGAGCAGAGGTCTCCAGGGGCTCCTGTAAAGGGGCGGGGCAAGCACTGAGCCCAAGGTCCTCTCCCTCTGCCCCACTCACCTGGCCCTTCCCCTCCCACAGCGCCCACACCTGGCCACTTGCTCTGCCCCTCCCAGTAGAAAGGACCACCCAACACGCCCCTGAAGGGCTCAGGGAGACGAGGGCACCCGGATGGCATCGCTCTGCTTCCGCTTGTCTGAGTGGCTGGCCACCCCTCAGAACAACATCCCATTAGCACAGGCAGCTGGTCCTGGCCCCTGGACACATGGAGTGGGAGCAACCTGACCCGGCCACAGGGTCAGAGGACCTGGACGCTGAGCTCACCTCACCTGGCCACTGTGCCACCTACAGTCCCCCATGGCAGGAAGGTCACAGGGTCAGGATCAACTAGGTGGACACCCCAAGGCCTGGCGGATGGGATTCACCCCGGTCATGTGCTCCCCCCCATGAGAAGTCTGAGTCACAGCAGGATGAGGAGAGAGGAGAGAGGAGACACTTGGACTTGAAGAATTTCCCCTTTCTCCTTCCCTCATTTCTCCCTCCTTCTGTTCCTCCATCCCTCTCAATATCCTTGCTGGACTCTGACTCCAGTTAATCTCAGGGTCTGACCACACTAGGCAGGGGCAAGCCACATCCTAAAATATACCCCAAAGCACCGTCCCACTCAGGTCAGGGACCCCCGTGGACCACAGGACTTGCCCATGGAGGGCGGACCCCAGGGGACACATTGCCTGGGCCCCTCAGAGCCTGGCCAGGGGAAAGGGCAGGGCACCCACATTTTGAAAAGAAGGACTCTGGCCGGAACCGGTTTGGCTCAGTGAATAGAGTGTCAGCCTGCAGACCAAAGAGTCAGGAGTTTGATTCCGGTCAAGAGCATGTACATTGGTTGAGGGCACATCCTCAGTGGTGGGTGTGCAGGAGGCAGCTGATTGATGATTCTCTCATCGATGTTTCTAGCTCTCAATCCCTCTCTCTTCCTCTCTCTCTGTAAAAAATCAATAATATATATATATATATATATATATATATATATATATATATATATATATATATTAATTATTAAAAAAAAAAGGAGAGAGAAGAAAAGAAGGACTCTGGGCCCTTTAAAAGGGTCTGTGCCCACCTGGGGGCTGGAAGCTCAGGCCCCACCCAGCTCAGCAGGGACAGCTCTGTGTCCAGGCCCCGTGGTGTCCAGATGGGACCAGACCCCAGGTCCCTGAGCCAGGGGTGAAGGCTGAGGGTCCTGGGTGCAGAGGGAGGCGAGCCCCAGGACTGGGTGTGAGCAGGAGGGCAGGAGCCCTAGGACAGAGACGCGGCTGGGACAGGGTGCGGGGCCCTGGGACCCACCTGGGGGCCGAGTGGAGACGTCCTCCTCTGTCACCTGCAGCTGCAGGGGCTCACTGCGCTCAGACCAGTGGGACCCTTGGTTGTAGAGGCAGCTATAACGCCCGGCAGTGTGTTCATTCACAGCGCGCAGATTTGGAATCTGGCCTCTCTCCCCTGCCGACCATCTTGAGACACACTTCTCTGATAAGGGGGTACACGTCTTTCATCCTTCTCCAGGCGGAATAACTCAGCCCCAGCTGGGCCCCGGCACACGAAGGTCACAGGCCGTCCCCGGGGGATCACAGAGCCTGGCTCGGCCCTGAGGGAGGGCTTGGGCTGAACCCCTGGGAGGAAGCAGAGCAGGATCTCAGGCTCCATTGTGAGGAAATCTCCAACCTCACACGGCCCGTGTTTCAAGAGTGCACATTAATGTTTTTAGCAAATTTGCAGAACTGTGCAACTGTGTCTGCAATTTAATTTTAAGCCACTTCACCACCCCTTTCCTAAGAGACCATGCTCTCTGCCCCTCCAGAGGACTGAGTTCTCATCATCCAGTGACTTCCCCACCTGACACTAACCAAGATGTGGTGGCCTCATGGGCTTTCCTCAAGGGACCGGGAGCTGTTTGAGCAGCTGTCCCCACGGCCACTCTCCAGGGGGACAGACAGGGCTGGGAGGGGGCAGAGGGTGAGGATGAGAAGGTCACTCTTGGGCACAGGGACACTGGAGTCTGAGATGGTGGGAGAGACCTGGACGGGTCTGAGGGCAGTGGGGGAGATTGTGGGGACCAATGGGGGCTGCATTGCCCCAAGGGAAGTCTAGAGAAAAAGGGGGTGGGGGTACAGCTCCAGCCCAGACCTGCTCACAGGACCCCAGTTGTGTGAACACCCCCACCCATGACTGCAGGGCACGTTTTCTGAGCAGTACTCACTGAGGTTCCCTCTGCATTTCCCAACCTCCCTCTCAGCCCATTTATACTTCCTTGTGACGGAGGCTCCTGCAACCCCAAGTGTGTAAACTGGGCGGGGAGGGGAGGAGAGGGCTCTGGCCCTGAAACAGGAAGAAGGCATCCCAGTTACCCAAACCCTGAGAGACAGAGCTGGCCCAGCCCAACCACTCATTCCCTCGTTCCTTCAGCCACAGCTCAGCTCCTGTCTCCCCTTTACCGACGCCTCCTTGTCCCTTTGGCCCCACAAACAGGAAAAACACAGGAGGACCCCGGCCTTCTTGGGCAGGAGGGGAGAGGGGGCACAGGGTGAGAGTGGGGGGGGCCTCAGGGTGAGTGTGGGGTTTCAGGTTGAGTGTGGGTGCTCAGGGTGAATGTGGGGGATTAGGGTGAGTGTGGGTGCTCAGGGTGAATGTGGGGGATTAGGGTGAGTGTGGGTGCTCAGGGTGAATGTGGGGGATTAGGGTGAGTGTGGGTGCTCAGGGTGAATGTGGGGGATTAGGGTGAGTGTGGGTGCTCAGGGTGAATGTGGGGGATTAGGGTGAGTATGGAGACTCAGGGTGAGTATGGAAGGCTCAAGGTGAGTGTGGAGACTCAGGACGAGGGGGCAGTGCTGACCTCTCAGAGGCAGAGGTGGGAGGCCCTGAGCTGAGACCAGAGGGTCAGGGGGGAATGAGTCAAGCCCAGCACAGGAGCCCTCAGCCTGGGAGGGGGTCATGGTAGAGACAGAACATGGAGCTTTTGAAAATGACAAGAAGGCTGGGTTTCTGAAGGTCACTTAGCCAGAGGGCGTGAGGACAGAAAGATGCAGACAGGGAGAGAGGCTCAGGCTCATTCCAGCTGAAGACACACCAGGAGAGGAATCTAAGGAAAATCAACATTTTGCCTGAACATGAAACATGTATGAAAAACTTCATTTAAAAGGGGGACTCACCCTCCTGCGTGTGGATCATCTGGCCCAGACAGAGCACTGCAAGGGAAGGGCTGGTGAGGACAACGCCCAGCACCCGGGTCCTTCCCGGGCTGCAATCAGGCAGCCTTCCTGGAGGCAGTGAGCCTGGCCTGGAGAATCTCCCAGGCTCCCTCCTCAGCATCCCCTCTGAGCACAATCCTGCTTCCTGCTCTGGGTTTCCAGACCAACCCCCCCCCCTCCTCCAATCAGGCCCTCAGTCAGAACCCTGTCCTCAAGACCGGGCCCCTGCCTCTAGGACTGACCCTCCCGGGGTCACACTTAGGTCAGGGCCAGCGCTGAGAGGCCAGGCCCCCAGGAGGGTCCAGGAGTCTCCTGGGCCAGGGTCAGACTGAGCAGGGATGGAGACGCCTCCCCCAGCCACCACCCCCTGGGCTCCTGGGAGCAATCCCTCCGTCCAGGACTCACCGAGGCCCAGGAGGGTGGAGGGCTGGGGGCCCATGGCCAACCTCTCCCTGTCTTCTCTGTCCTTGTCCACCCGGAGGAGTTGTGTCTGCCTGGGAGAGGGAGGACAGGGCCCTGCAGGTCAGTGAATGTGCAGGGTGGCCTTAAAGGGGCCGGGTCATGTGCCTCGTTTCCGTGGTTTCTCATGAAGGGAGGCGGGGTGCTCCCAGCCCTAAACCTAGTTTCCCCTTTGTGAGTCCAGAGAGGCCTGGGTGCTACTCATATGAAAAACTAAATTTCTCATATGTCCACACAGCAGTTTGTAGTGACATCTGTCCTAACCAGACTCAACCCATGACATCAATCCCACATGGTATTAATTCACCAGCAATAGACAGGCATAGATGATGATGATGATAGATAGATGGATAGATAGATAGATAGATAGATAGATAGATAGTCCCTAGCTGGATCCTACATAGCTGGATCCTCAGATACCTAGAGGTATAAGGTTGTTACACAGATACACAAATTGATAGTTACACAGATAGATGCATAGATGCAAACATGGATATAGAGATCGTTACAAAGATACTTCATTACATAAACATATACTGGGGTATATATATAGCTATGTAGATGGTCAGATACATAATTATATAAATACAGACAGTTGAATAGATAGATATTTAGATAGATACAGAGATACTTATGTATATACATAGATACTTAGACACAGTTACACAGATAGATAGATACATAGATATATAAATTATTAGATAGATACATAGTTACATAGATAAATAAATAGATGCATAGTTACATAGATATACAGATACAATGATAGATACCTATATACACAGATATTTAGATAAATTTTGAGATATATAGATAGATACATAAATGATCAGATAGATACATAGTTACATAGATAGATATACAGATACAATGATAGATACTGAGATACATAGAATCGTAGTAGACAGTACGTGCTGGGAAACTTCCTGCCTTGCCCTCTGGCCCTCACAGGCTGACTGTCCCCAAACCACACATTTCCTGATGCAAATGCTTCAGCTTCTCAGTGCACACAGGAAACCATAGAACTCTCCTGACACCTCCACTTGGTTCCTGGGGCAGCATAGAGCTGAGGGGGAGGCTGGAGGGACTCAGCCTGCTCTCCCCACCCTCTCCCCCACCCCCCATGCACCCAGGGCAGGCGGCCCCCAGCTCAGGCTCTGAGCTACTGTTTCTGTGGCCCTTTGTGCCTGGTGAGACCCTGGCCTGCCAGCTGCCTTTGGTTATGTCACACTGAACACCCCCATGGCCACAGGAGCGAATGCACTGAAGACACAGTCATGTGGGCAGGACTTCCGGGAAGGTTGAGTTTGCACAGAACCACAGGTGCCTGGGCAGGTGGCCAGATTCTGGTCTGGATGTTGGTGTGTGTCCATGGGTCCATTGAGGGCCCAGAACACAGACACTGTGCCTAGGGAAGGTGGTTCCATAGCCTCTTCCCCCTCACAACACTGAGGCACATCCTTGTGACCTCCCAGGGGAGGGGCCTCCCACCCCCAGGAGGAGCAGACAGAGGAGAGTCAGGACCTGGAGGGAAAGGCTGAGACTCTCAGGTCCCAGCCCAGGGGTGGCTGTGAGGCCGAAGCCCCAGGCAGGGCCCAGGCAGAGCTGGGCCACCAGGAGGGCAAAGGTGGGCGAGGGGAGGAAGGGGAACTTCTGTAATAGTGTCAATAAGACAGACAAGATCCTCAGAAGGGGGTAGGCGGACAGTTCTGCTGGGGTCTTTTCTGCACCAACAAGGGTTCAGGAATCTGGAGAAGGGCTGTGCATCATTGGACTAAAGAGACCAGAGAAGAAATAGGAATTTGGAAGGCATTTTGGAGGGCCAGACAGAAACTTGGTTCTAGTGACTAAGCTCCCTAAGTCTCCAGACCCCCTGGGTTTTTATTCCCACATTTTGCCCTATAGCAAAGCAGATATACCTATCAAAGGTAAAGTTTGGTAAAGAGTATATCTATTAAAGGCCCCTGTGCATGAATTTGTGCATGAGAAGGGTCCCTTGGCTGGCCAGCAATTGGGGCCTTTTGGGCGGGAAGGGCCAGCTGGCCAGGGGTAGGGACCCTGGGAGTTTGGCCAGTGGCTGCGAGGGGCTGCAAGAAGTTGGCTGGCCACAGGAGGTTAGCTGTGAGAGTGCCCTGACCAGCAGGGGGCAGTTCCAGTGTCATGAATCTGTCCCCTGGTGGTCAGTGTTCATCAAAGCAACCGGTCAACTTGTCCTGTGGTCATTTAGGCTTTTATATATACAGATGTACGTTAGTTTCTGTCTATGTGTCCGTGTCTCTCAGTGTCTATGTGACTATCTCGACATCCATCGAGGCACCTATGCATCCACCCATGTCACTACCCCTTTGTGTATGTGTGTTACTGTAGGTCTGTGTGTCTGAGTCTCTATGGGTCATCCAGCCATCCATCCTTCTGTCCTGTGTGTCTGTCTCTGATGAGTTACTTCTCTGTGGCCTTCCGCTGGGCATGGGCTCAGCCTGGTGAGGAAACATCTCTCTTGCAATGCCTCCCGGAAACCCTGGCCGCTCAGGTTCTCCAAATAGGGGCACATGGGTCCGGGAGCGGCCACACTCCCTTCCTGAGAGGCCACGGAAAAGAGCCGGGACCCCTGCACACTTCCTCGCCGGCCGGGCCCTGCCCGCCTCACAGGCACCAGGGCAGAGAAGCTATTGTGAGGCTACTCATGTACCCCCATCCCTCCACCCTCCTGGGCCTGGGTGAGTCCGATTGCTGGGGGGGAGGGCCTCAGGGCAGAGGGGCGGGACTCCGAGGGGCACCCAGGCCCCACCTGCCCCCAATCCCCAAGATCCCCCTCAGCCTTCAGGCTCTGCTTCCTCTGTGTCACCTGGGCCCCAGCTCCAGGGGAGAGACCCGGGCTGTTCCGGACCCCGGGAGGGGGACTGGTCAGACACACACACACACAGGGGCAGAGGGGGCGTGGTGGGAGGCCTCCTGGGAACCCGTGTGGACCCTGCTGCAGCAGGGGGAGCTACCCCGGGGGAGCCAGGCTGACCAGGGGTGTGGGAGGTGGCAGAAGAGGCGGTCCTTCCTGTAGCTCAGGGGCCTGGACCCCGTTTGAGGAACCGGGTGGGTGGTGGGCGACCATCTCACAGGGGCTTTCCTTGCAGTGCTCTGTCTGGCCCGGGTGATCTACACGCAGGAAGGTGAGTCACTCCTGCCCAGCTCCTCCCCCCACCCACCCCAAGGGCATCCTGTGGATTAAAGGGAGGGAGGATGGAGTGGGGGGGGGGGGGACTCACACCCCAAGTGGCACCAGCAAATGTGCCTCCTAACACACCTGACTGATGCTCCCAACCCCACTGGGCATCCGCCCTGATTCCCTCAGACCTGAGGCCTAGGAAATGCAAAACTGGATGCTGATTCCTGCCCCTGTCACCTGCCTCCTCTTCCTCACCTGCCTACTGTGTCCTCAGGGTCGGGCCTCAGTCCAGGACCATATGTCACAGTCATCTGTCCGCCCCCCCACACACACACACTCTTCCCCTCCCTCTGTCACCCCATCCCACACCCCGGGGTGTCACCAGTGCCCTCACATGTCCTCACGAGAGCCCACACATCCCAGCCCAGCCGAGCTCTCAGCTCCACAGCAGGTCCCCGGGCCACCAGGGGCTTCCCCTTCACCCCCCTCCCCCCTGCCTGCTCCGCTCCAACTTCTCCCTCCTGGGGTCGGATTTAGAAACATCAAATCTGATGACGTCACTTCCCACGCAGAACCCTTCCCTGGCCAAATGGAGGTCTTGTCAGATCCCTCCTCCCTGTGTGTCCCGAGGCCAAGTCTCCCTCAGCCACAGCCCTGGCTTCCTTTCCGCATCTCACACACCAAGCTCACCCCACGCTCACGACCTTCTCCCACCCTAATGCGCGCCCCCTGGCACCCACCCTCCCTTCCCCGCCTCCCCTGACCGCTCAGCTATCTGCTGCTTCCTGCCCGTCCCTCACATCTCACCTCAGAGCGGCCGGGGCCATCTTCACAGACATGGGCCCAGGCTGCACGGTGCTGCTGGGGGGCAGGGGGCAGTGCTGTCTTATTTTATTTTATTTTTTATTTTATTTTATTTTATTTTCCTTTTCTTTTTTTCTTTTTTTTCTTTTTCTTTTTAATTTTAAAAATTAATCTCTTTATTGATTAGCGTATCACATATTTGTCCTCAATCCAGCATTCCAATCCTCCCCCCACGCATGCCACACACACACACACACACACACACACACACACACACACACCCGCCTATTGTCCTTGACCCCTGGTTAGGCTCCTAGGTGTGCACACAAGTCCTTTGGTTGATGTCTCCCTTTTATCCCCACCCTCCCTCTGAGGTCCAACTGTCTGACCCATGGCTCCTTGTCCCTGGGTCTGTTCTTGTTCATCTGTCCATGTTGTTCACCATTTCCCCCAGATGAGTGAGATCATGTCCTACCGGAAATATACTTGTAAGAATCGAAAATGAGACAAGCCATCATCGTTATGGCGCTGTCTGTTACGAGGCACTGAGCCTGGCTAGCGAGTGCTGCTCAGACTCCAAGGAGGATGTGGCGTCCGGATGCCCAGAGGCCAGGCCAGGGTCTCTGTGTCCTCGGCCGCTCCCAGAGAAGGACCATTCCCTGATTCACCATGGTCTCTGATTCCCTCCTCTCTGCTTCCTTCCAGGGCCCATGCCCAGGCCCTCCCTCGTGGCCGAGCCAGGTCCTGTGCTTCCCCGAGGGACGGCTGTGACCCTCGTGTGCCGGGGCCCAGCGGGGGCTGAGTTATTCCGCCTTGAGCAAGTTGAAGGAACTATGTATGATGTTCTGAAAAGTGTGTCTCAAGGTGGTTCTCAGGGCTCAGCGGGCAGATTCCGCATCCCCGCGGTGAGTCACTACACTGCCGGGAGTTACCGCTGCCTCTACAATCAAGGGTCCAATATCTGGTCTGAGCCCAGTGAGCTCCTGGACCTGCAGGTGACAGAGGAGGACATCTCCACTCGGCCCTCAGGTGGGTCCCAGGGCCCCGCAACCCCTGTCCCAGCCGCGTATCTGTCCTCGGGCTCCTGCCCTCCTGCTCACCCCCAGCCCTGGGGCTCCCCTCCCTCTGCACACAGGACCCTCAGCCTTCACCCCTGGCTCAGGGCCCTGGAGTCTGGTCCCATCTGAACACCACGGTGGCCTGGACCCTGAGCCCCACCTCAGAGGGGCACAGATCTGTCCCTGCTGGGCTGGGTGGGGCCTGAGCTCCCAGCCACCAGGTAGGCACAGACCCCCTCAAGGGGCCCTGAGTCCTTCCCCTCAGTGTGGGGGTGCCCTGCCCTTTCCCCTGGCCAGGCTCTGAGGGGCCCAGGCAATGTGTCCCCTGGGGTCCGCCCTTCATGGGTAAGTCCTGTGGTCCATGGGATCCCTGACCAGAGAGGCACGGTGCTTTGGGGTATTTTTTTGGATATGACTTGCTCCTGGCCTGGGGTGGTCAGACCCTGAGGTGAACTGAGAGTCCAGCAAGGACATGGAGAGTGATGGAGAGAGAGAAGGAGGGAGAAACGATGAGGGAGGGAGAAAGGGGAAATTCTTCAAGTCCAAGTGTCTCCTCTCTCCTCTCTCCTCATCCTGCTGTGACTCAGACTTCCCATGGGGGAGAGCACATGCCCAGGGGTGAACCCCATCTGCCTGGCCAGGGGTGTCCACCTAGTTGATCCTGACGCTGTGACCTCCCTGCCCTGGGGGATTGTGGGTGGCACAGTGGCCGGGTGAGGTGACCTCAGGATCCAGGCCCAGTGACCCTGTGGCCGGGTCAGGGGGCTCCCACCCCGTGTGTCCAGGGGCCAGGACCAGCTTCCTGTGCTAATAGGATGTTGTCCTGAGGGGTGGCCGGCCACTCAGACAAGCGGAAGCAGAGAGGGTGCCATCTGGGTGCCCTCGTCTCCCTGAGCCCTTCAGGGGCGTGTCGGGTGGTCCTTTCTACTGGGAGGGGCAGAGCAAGTGGCCAGGTGTGGGCGCTGTGGGAGGGGAAGGGCCAGGTGAGTGGGGCAGAGGGAGAGGACCTTGGGCTCAGTGCTTGCTCCGCCCCTTTACAGGAGCCCCTTGGAGACCTCTGCTCCCCCACTTGGAGCCTGGGCTGGGGAGGGGGGACCTCAGCCTGGGGCGTCCCCTCCTCAGGGTTCTGCTGGGCATGGGCTCCTGCCTCCTAGGGCCTGGCCTGGCCGGGTGGTGTTCACCTGTCAGTGACCCCTGCCCTCTGCTTCCAGGCCCCGCCTCCCGGGACTACAAGGTGGAGAACAGCATCCGCCTGTGCCTGGCGGGCGTGGTCCTGCTGATCCTGCTGGCGATTCTGGTGGAAGCTGGGCTCAGCCAGTGGGGCCCCACAGCGACCACAGGAGTAACCACAAGGGAGCCCCCCCCAGAGAGAGGGGACCCCGGGGCACCAACAGGGAGCTCCCTGAGTGCCCCAAGGCTCACGCTGGAGCCCAGGACACCCAGATCTGCCCCCGCTGTTTTTCAAGGACAAGAACACCCAGGCCCACGTGGGTTAGGATGCTTGGCCTCAACCCCTCCTCTTCCCAGGACCATAGAGAGGAGTCAGCCTGATTGACCAGCAGGCAGACAAGGCAGGGTCCAGGGGAGACAAAGGCCGGTGGAATGTAGGCAGGGCAGACCTAGCCACCTGAGCCTGCCTGACTGCAGAAGCCAGCCTCACAGAAATAACAGGATGATTTTATTATAGACTCAGAAGGGAGGCAGGGGAACTAGGGAGGGGCTGCCACAATCAGGTGAGCTGAGGCAGAGGGACCCAGAAGGTTCAGGTCTGCTTCTGGGCAACAACAATGGAGAGAATCCATGAGGTGGCCACAGGGGGCGATAGAGAGCAGGTTTGTAGCAAGTATATACCCCTAGACCCCAGGCTTCAGGGGCAGCCATGACTGAGCCTCTCCCCATGTGGGAGTCTCAATGTGCTTGCAATAAAGTTTCCACACTTTGGCTTCAATCTTCTGGTGTGAGATTTCTTCATTCTCTGTGTGTGTGAGATGCCATATGGGCTGGGGAGGGGGATGAAACCTCAGCTCGCTGTTGTGGGTATCACCACAATCCCCAACCCAGCCCCCCCAGGGCCGCTAAGTCATGGGAGGAACGCAAACTGCCCTCCACCATGTGGGTGGGCCTCCTCGCATTGGCTGAAGATAGCAGGACTGACCCCTGGACTCCGCCAGCCAACTCCCTGGGGCTTGAACGGCAACAGAAGCTCTCCTGGTCTCCTGCCATCAGCCCTCCCTGCACATTTTGGCCTTGCCAGACTCCTGAACTGTGTGAGCCAACCCTGCCACGTGCATCTCTCTGTATATACAAGTCCTGTTGGTCCTGTGCCTGGGAAAGACCTGCACGGAAACAGTGCGCACACAGTATCTTTGGGGGTGGAGTGATGATAATAATTTAGAAGAAGTAGAGGCAATGGTTGCACAAGATGATGAATGTAAAAAATGCCACTGAATACTGCTAAAACCAAATTCTAGTATTGTAGTTAGCATAATAACTGTGAGAAGTTCATCAGAAGGCTGATGGATAGCTACAGCAGGGCTGAAGATTTGCTTTATTATTGCTGCTGCCAGATAGCTGAGGGCCCTTTCCCCAACCTGATAATCCTTTACTGTTTACCAAACCGTACCTTTGATATGTATATCTGCTTTGCTATAGGGCAAAATCCTGCCTAATAAAGAGAGAATATGCTAATTGATCCTCATGCCTTTGCAAAAAATGGCAGGGCCCACAGCCAATAAGGAGGGAATATGCTAACTGAGTGCCCTGCCCTCAAAGATGGTGGTGCCCAAAGCCACAAGATGTCTATGCCCAGTCCCCTCAGTCCTGCTGGGCTGCTCCACGTGCCTGCCTCCAGAGTCCTCCAATTCCCTCAGCACCCAGCATCCCAGGGCCAGCCTGAGGTGCAGGCAAGCCTTGGATGGTGGCTTCCCAGCCAGCCAGGGCTGCCCAAGGCTCAAGTAACCAGGGCTGGCTGAGGCTTGCGCTGCCAGCAGTGGCAGCAGCAGAGGTATCATGGGGTGTCGCCTTCCCCTGATTGCCAAGTTGCCTCCTGCACCTGAGGGCTCCTGGAATGTCAGAGGGGGCAGTAACAATTGATATAATCAATCAGGTGGCCACAGGGGGTGATAGAGAGCAATTTTGTAGCAAATATATACCCCTACACCACAGCTCACCAGTACATGAATTTTCATGCACTGGGCCGCTAGCGTGGGAATAAAAAGCCGGGGTTCTGGAGATTCGGGGAGATAGGACTTGACATTATTTAAACAGAGAAAGGGGGGATAGTGGAGTAAGCAAATTACATCAAGCCTTACTTACTTTCAATTTTTTTACTTTGAAATGTTTCACTTGTAATGCTAATGGCAAACCTCCAGTGGAATTACACATGCTATCAGAATAAGCCGAAGGAAAATGGTTTGGAAACACGAAAAGATCCCGAGTCTAGTTTATAGAAAGGATTCCTTTATTAACCTTTGGTCGAGAATATGCTTATCTATTTCCAGAAAACTCCCTCAAGCCCATGTGGATTTCTGCCACAATGGATCCAAGAGTGGAACTGACCAGACTGCTCCAGGCACTGATGGCGGTGGCCCCAAGCAATAGGCTGAGGAGACAGAGGAGAAACAGTCCGGAGAGGGAGGATGGTGAGGATGCCTTGCTGTGCCAGCGGTCAGCAGCTGTGCCTCGGTGCAGGCTGCCCAGGAACAAGCCAAACAAGGTCGGACCTGCATTGCCATTGATCACTGTTTGTCCACCATCCAGAACTGGAATATCATTGCTGTCATATCACAGGGGACAGTGACTGAGAGCGGAACCCATGAAAATCTGTTGGACAGTGATTGAGAAGAGGAATCAAAGAACCGTTGGCCCAGAAAGGAGCTTAATGCAGATACCAGGAAGCAATTTAAAGGGACATGAATGTGATTGATTTCTAAAATTATTAAAACAAAAAGAGGTATATGCTGTTTGCAAATTCTATAAGTTAGCATAATAAACAGGAGAAGTTCATCAGAAGGCTGATGGACAGCTACAGCAGGGCTGAAGTTTTGCCTTATTATTGCCTGCTGCCAGACAGCTGAGGGCAGTTCCCCCAACCTGATAATCCTTTACTGTTTACCAAACCTTACTTTGATTTATATATCTGCTTTGCTATAGGGCAAAATGTGGGAATAAAATCACAGGGGGTCTGGAGACTTAGGGAGCTTAGTCACTAGAACCAAGTTTCTGTCTGGCCCTCCAAAATGCCTTCCAAATTCCTATTTCTTCTCTCGTCTCTTTAGTCCAATGATGCACAGCCCTTCTCCAGATTCCTGAACCCTTGTTGGTGCAGAAAAGACTCCAGCAGAACTGTCCGCCTACCCCATTCTGAGGATCTTATCTGTAATGTTGACACTATTACAGAAGTTCCCCTTCCTCCCCTCGCCCACCTTTGCCCTCCAGGTGGCCCAGCTCTGCCTGGGCCCTGCCTGGGGCTGCGGCCTCACAGCCACCCCTGGGCTGGGACCTGAGAGTCTCAGCCTTTTCCTCCAGGTCCTGACTCTCCTCTGTCTGCTCCTCCTGGGGGTGGGAGGCCCCTCCCCTGGGAGGTCACAAGGATGTGCCTCAGTGTTGTGAGGGGGGAAGAGGCTATGGAACCACCTTCCCTAGGCACAGTGTCTGTGTTCTGGGCCCTCAATGGACCCATGGACACACACCAACATCCAGACCAGAATCTGGCCACCCGCCCAGGCCCCTGTGGCTCTGTGCACACTCAACCTTCCCGGAAATCCTGCCCACATGACTGTGTCTTCAGTGCATTCGCTCCTGTGGACATGGAGGCAGCTGGCAGGCCAGGGTCTCACCAGGCACAAAGGGCCACAGAGATGGGGGCTCAGAGCCTGAGCTGGGAGCCGCCTGCCCTGGGTACATGGGGGGTGGGGGGGAGGGCGGGGAGAGCAGGCTGAGTCCCTCCAGGCTCCCCCTCAGCTCTATGCTGCTCCAGGAACCGCATGGAGGTGTCAGGAGAGTTCTATGGTTTCCTGTGTGCACTGAGAAGCTGAAGCCTTTGCATCAGGAAATGTGTGGTTTGGGGACAGTCAGCCTGTGAGGGCCAGAGGGCAAGACAGGAAGTTTCCCAGCCAGTACTGTCCACTATGATTCTATGTATCTCAGTATTTATCATTGTATCTGTATATCTATCTATGTAACTATGTATCTATCTGATCATTTATGTATCTATCTATATATCTCAAAATTTATCTAAACATCTGTGTATATAGGTATCTATCTTTGTATCTGTATATCTATCTATGTAACAATTCTTCTATCTAATTATTTATGTAACTATGTATCTATCTATATATGTAACAATTTATCTTAGTATCTATGTATATAACTATCTATCATTGTATCAGTGTAACTATGCGTCTAATTTTCTATGTATCTATCAATCTGTGTAACTATGTATCTAAGTATCCATGTATTGTATTTACATAACTATCTCTGTATCTATCTAAATATCTATTCAACTCTGTGTATTTCTATAATTATGTGTCTTACAATCTGCATAGCTATGTACGTATCCCAGTATGTGTTTATGTAATTAAGTATCTTTGTAACTATCTCTATATCCATGTTTGCATCTATGCATTTATCTATGTAACTATCAATTTGTGTATCTGTGTAACAACTTATACTTCTATGTATCTGAGAATCCAATTATGTAGGATCCATCTAGGGACTATCTATCTATCGATCCATCTATCTATCATTATCATCTATGCCTGTCTATCGCTCGTGAATTAATACCATGTGGGTTTGATGTCATGGGTTGAGCCTTGTTAGGACATATATCGCTAAAAACTGCTGTGTGGACATATGAGAAATGTTGTTTTTCATATGAGTATCACCCAGGCCTCTCTGGACTCACAAAGGGGAAACTAGGTTTAGGGCTGGGAGCACCCCGCCTCCCTTCATGAGAAACCACGGAAACGAGGCACATGACCCGGCCCCTTTAAGGCCGCCCTGCACATTCACTGACCCTCCGCCAGGCAGACGCATCTCTTCCGTGTGGACAAGGACAGAGAAGACGTGGAGAGGCTGGCCATGGGGCCCCGGCCCTCCATCCTCCTGGGCCTCGGTGAGTCCTGGACGGAGGGACTGCTCCCAGGAGCCCAGGGGGTGGTGGCTGGGGGAGGTGTCTCCATCCCTGCTCAGTCTGACCCTGGCCCAGGAGACTCCTTGTCCCTCCTGGGGGCCTGGCCCCTCAGCGCTGGCCCTGACCAGGGGCAGTCCTAGAGGCAGGGGCCGGGACATGGGGACAGGGTCTGACTGAGCACCCGATTGGAAGAGGGGGTTGGGGGTTGGTCTGGAAACCCAGAGCAGGAAGCAGGATTGTGCTCAGAGGGGATGCTGAGGAGGGAGCCTGGGAGATTCTCCTTGCCAGGCTCACTGCCTCCAGGAAGGCTCCCTGATTGCAGCCCGGGGAGGACCCGGGTCCTGGGCATTGTCCTCACCAGCCCTTCCCTTGCAGTGCTCTGTCTGGGCCAGATGATCCACACGCAGGAGGGTGAGTCCCCTTTTAAAATGGAGTATTTCACACATGTTTCATGTTCAGGCAAAATATTGATTTTCCTTAGATTCCTCTCCTGGTGTGTCTTCAGCTAGAATGAGCCTGAGCCTCTCTCCCTGTCTGCATCTTTCTGTCCTCACGCCCTCTGGCTAAGTGACCTTCAGAAACCCAGCCTTCTTGTCATTTTCAAAAGCTCCATGTTCTGTCTCCACCATGACCCCCTCCCAGTGCTGGGCTTGGCTCATTCCCCCCTGACCCTCTGGTATCAGCTCAGGGCCTCCCACCTCTGCCTCTGAGAGGTCAGCTCTGCTTGCCTGATCCCTAGCCTCGCACACTCAGCTCTGGGCCAGTGTTACAGCACATGGCTGTGGGTTGCACAACCCCTCCTCAGCCCTGTGCCCCCTCTCCCCACATTCCGCCCAAGAAGGCAGGGTTCCTCCTGTGTTTCTCCTGTTTGTGGGCCAAAGGCACAAGGAGGCATCTGTGAAGAGGAGACAGGAGCTGAGCTGTGGCTGAAGGAATTAGGGAATGAGTGGTGGGGCTGGGCCAGGGATCTCTCTCAGGGATTGGGTAACTGGGATGCCTTCTTCCTGTTTCAGGGCCAGAGCCCTCTCTTCCCCTCCCAGCCCAGTTTATACACGTGGGGTTTCAGGAGCCTCAACACCAAGGAAGGGGAAATGGGCTGAGAGGGAGGTTGGGGAATGCAGAGGGAACCTCAGTGAGTGCTGCTCAGAGGACATGCCCTGCAGTCACAGGTGGGGGGTGTCCACACAACTGGCGTCATGTGAGCAGGTCTGGGCTGGAGCTCTACCCCCAAACCCACCAGACTTCCCATGGGGCCTTGCATTGGTCCCCACAATCTCCCCCATCTGCCTGCAGACCCAGCCCAGCAGGAGGAGTGAAGTGGGCTAATTTGGGTGACACTGGGGGAGGGCTTTGCATTGGAGTCTCCTGGAATCACCAAGAAGCAGACCCCGGGGCATTGTGGGATCAGACTCTGTCCTTAGAGCCCATTGCAGACGCTCCCATTTGTCTGAGCCAAGCTGGGGATGCTCACAAACACCCTCTGAGACTCCTACCTCCCTCACCAGGACTAACCTACTCATCCTCACCCTGTAGCCCACCCCCCCAGCCCTGTCTGTCCCCCTGGTGAGTGGCTGTGGGCACGGAAACATGCCCAGGGTACCTGGCTGCTCTGACACTCCCCATGTCCCCCTGAGAAAAGCCCATGATGACACCAGAACTTGTGTCATGTGAAGAAGTCACTGGAGGGATGAGAACTGAGTCTCTGGAGAGGAAAGGGGTCGTCTCTTGGGGGAAGAGATGGTGCAAATGGTCTAGACCTGGGCTGTGGTGAGGGCTGCACAGCTCTACAAGTTTGTTATAAACCATGGAGGTGCTCGTTTGAAATACGGGCGGTGTGAGGTTGGAGATTTCCTCACCATGGAGCCTGAGATCCTGCTCTGCTTCCTCCCAGGGGCCCTGCCCAAGCCCTCCCTCAGGGCTGAGCCAGGCCTTGTGATCCCCCGGGGACGGCCTGTGACCTTCGTGTGCCGGGGCCCAGCTGGGGCTGAGTTATTCCGCCTGGAGAAGAATGGAAGCCAAGAAGTCTTTGATAATAAAAGTGTGCCTCAAGATGGATCTCAGGACTCAGAGGCCAGATTCCACATCCCAGCAATGACTGTACACACTGCTGGGAGTTACCGCTGCCTCTATCACCCAGGGTATGAGAGGTGGTCTGAGCGCAGTGAGCCCCTGGACCTGCAGGTGACAGAGGAGGACGTCTCCACTCGGCCCCCAGGTGGGTCCCAGGGCCCCTTCTCTGTCCTCGGGCTCCTGCCCTGCTCAGCCCCATTCCTGGGACTCCCCTCCCTCTGCACACAGGACCCTCAGCTTTCACCCCTGGCTCAGGGCCCGGGAGTCTGGTCCCATCTGGACACCACGGTGGCCTGGACCCTGAGCTCCGCCTCAGAGGGGACACAGAGCTGTCCCTGCTGGGCTGGGTGGGGCCTGAGCTTCCAGCCACCAGGTGGGCACAGACCCTTCAAGGGGCCCTGAGTCTTTCCTCTCAGGGTGGGGGTGCCCTGCCCTTTCCCCTGGCCAGGCTCTGAGGGGCCCAGGCAATGTGTCCCCTGGGGTCCGCCCTCCATGGGCAAGTGGCATGGTCCTGGGGCATGGCCAGAGTGGGGCAGTGCTCTGAGGGACTTGGGGGATGAAGCTGACCTTCCCTGTGTGTGGTCATTCCAGAGACCTCCTGGACTCAGGGTCCATCAGGTACCCCCCTCCCCCCATGTCCTGGGCCTCATGGGAGCTGCTCCCTGCTGGTTCTGGGAGGCCAAGAGCTACTGGCTCATGGACCCCCCATAGCTCAGGTGCCATCTGGGATTGAGTGAGGGACAGATGTGGCTGTGGGTGGTGGATACTCAGGGTGGAGGGGGGCCAGGCTGAGTGGGAGGAACCCAGTGGGAGGAACCCCCACAAAACATCAGCCCTTTCCCTGCCCTGTTCACAGGAGCCCCCCGAGTTCTCAGCTCCACCCCCAGCTACACCTCCATCTCACATACAAAGACCCACTCCTCAGGTGGTGAGTAGAGACCTCAGCTTGGAGGGGTTTCGGAGGGGGGCTCAGTGCTGGGGCTCAGGCTCCATCCTCCCAACTCTAGTGGGGAGAATTAATTAGAATAAACAATAAGAAATGCATATGTTACATAATAAAAGGCTAATATGCAAATCAACAAACAGTGGGACGACCAGTTGCTATGATGGGCACTGACCACCAGGGGGTAGACGCTCAACACAGGAGCTGCCCCCATGGGGTCAGTGAACTCCCACAGGGGAGTGCCACTCAGCCAGAAGACAGGCTCATGGCTGGCGAGGACAGTGGTGGTGGCGGGAGCCTCTCCCGCCTCCGTGGAAATGTGGCTAGTGCAGCTGAGGCTCTGGCTCTTTTCTAAAAAATATATCTTTATTGAGTTCAGAGAGGAAGCAAGAGGGAGAGAGAATGAAACATTCATGATGAGAGCATCATTGATAGACTGCATCCTGCACGCCCCATACTGGGGATGGAGCCCACAACCTGGGCATGTGCCCTGACTGGGATTCAAACCTGTGACCTCTTGGTTCATAGATCGACAACCACTGAGCCATGCCGGCCTGGGCTGAGAATCTGGATTTTAAATTTATTTCAGTTAAATGCCAGTGGATACAGTGACCCTCGGGTACTAATTTGGACAGGACAAATGCAGGGCATTTCCATTCCCTCAGAAAGTCCCATAGGCAGAACAGTCCTGGAGGGAGCAGCTGAGGGCCCCAGGGTGAGGAGACCTCCCCAGGGGGGCCTAGAGACTCAGAGCCTCCTCTATCCAGCTCGGGACTTAGACACATGTCCTCCTGGTTCCTCACTCCTAGGAGACACACGGCCCCAGTCACAGGACAATAGGAGTCGCGGTAAGTGATGGGGACAGAGGACCTGGACCCGGAGTGTGCCTCATGGGGAAGGGAAAGAATGGGTTTCGGCGTTGGTCATACCTCAACTCTGTCGACACCCTCTGTCTCCACTCAGGACCGTGGTTTAATAAAATGAGGATGATGGGTCCCTGCCAGAGTTCTTGTTCCAGCATTAAGAAGGGTTCAGCATTCTGGAGAAAGGCTGTGTGTAGATTAAGTAGAAGTCCAGAGATGAAAGATAACTTTGAAAAGCATTGGGGGTCAGAGGAACCTGGCTGAAGAAAGGAGATTCTCCTTGACTCAGGACCCCTTGCTTTTTATTAACACAAATTGTCCTAAGGCAGTGGTCAGAAAACTCATAAGTCAACAGAGCCAAATATCAACAGTACAACCATTGAAATTTTGTTGGAGAGCCAAATTTTTAAACTTAAACTTCTGCTAACACCACTTCTTCAAAATAGACTTGCCCAGGCCATGGTATTTTGTGGAAGAGCCACACTCAAGGGGCCAAAGAGCCACATGTGACTCGTGAGCCGCAGTTTGCCTACCATGGTCCTAAGGCAAGGTGGAGATATTGTCAGATTGGGGAATAGCCCACAGCTGTTCAGGTGTATGGCCAATAGGAGGCAATAACATGTAGATTGAGAAGCCCTGAGCTGTCTGGCAGCAAACACTCATCCTATTCAGGTTTGGGGGAAGTGCCTTTAGCCATTCCCAACAAGTGATAACATATGTGACTCAGCCCTTGTTGAGTCCCCAAGTTCCATCAACCTTTTGATGAAACTCTTGCAGTTATGACATGCTGGAATTGGCTTCCGGCAGATCCCATGCCACAGGATCCCATTCCAGGCATGTGGGAGATTAGATACATCAGTGTGAACATGATAGGCACCCAGCATTTGCATGGTATGCAGTTGGTGCTCCATACATGCATCCTGCAGATATTGTGGTTCTATCTTCACTACCCTTCCAGGCCTGTCGAGCACATACATTTACATCCTTGTTGGGACCTCCGTGGCCTTTCTCCTTTGTCTCCTTCTGCTGGTCCTCTTCTTAGTCAACCGTCAGCATCAGAGAAAACACAGTAGGTCTCAGGGTCAGGGTGGGTGACCTGGGAAGGCTGTGTGGGGTGCTGGGGAGATGGCCTCCCTCCTAATTCACACCCTGATTGTCCTCAGAGTCCTCCCACAGCAAAGGTGAAGAGCAGAGGCCCCAGGAGAGGTGAGGACACCTGAGAATGACCCACAGACCCCCTCTCAGGTCTCGGTCTCCAGAGCACCCCACCCCCACCCCCTGTACTCTCTTGCTCTTTCTCCTCAGGCTTATCCAAGCTGCTGACATCACAGAGAGCACACCAGGTAAGGGACAAGGAGAGGGAACTGCTTGGGGTAAGGGGAGTGGCATTGAGCCCATTGAGGAAGCAATGGGGAGGGGCCAAGATGACTGGATGGTGCAGCTGGAGGTTGAGACCTAAACCCGTGAGGTTTCAGGCAAATTTGCCTCCAAAGGTTCATAACAATGACTGAATGTTGTTCTTTCCCCCCAACCCAGATGAGGCCACAATCTATGCACTTTCTGAAAAAAAGAGGGAGCTGCAGAGCCCAGTAAGTCCTTGGATTAATCACCTATTTCTGTATACCCCAATGTTTTTTGTTTTTTTTTTTTTTTTTTTTTTTTTTTTTTATGCTCACCTGAGGATATTTTTTTCATTGATTTTTCAAAAAGCATGGAAGGGAGAAAGGGAGAGGGAGAAAGAGAGAAACATCAATGTGACAGAGACACATCGACTGGTTATCTCCCACATGGGCTTCGACCAGGGCCGGGATTGAACCTGTGACCCTTCGTTCTGCAGTCAATTCTCTAACCACAGGAAACACCAGCCAGGGCCAAAGTGCCCGGGCTTGAACAGCTTCACACAAGGATCTCAGTAGTTTCTTGGGTCGGAATTCAGAAGCAGATTGCCGGGTGGTTCTGGCTCACGGACTCTCACGAGGCTGCTGTCATGGTGATGGGCTGCATTCATCTGAAGGCTGGACTGGGGCTGCAGGTCCACGTGCAAGATGGCACCCTCATAGGCTGAGGGTGGGAGGCCTCTGTTCCTCCACATGTGGGGTTCTCCATGGCAGCTGCCTCCCTCAGAGGGTGGGGCCCCAGGGAGGGAGAAAGGGCAGAAATCCTATGTGTCTTGAGGCCTCTCCATGGAGGTGGCATGCCCTCTCCTTCTGTCGTATTCTAAGGTCACACAGCCCAACTCTGATTCTGTGGGGAAGGGAACGCCCCAATGGAGATTCCGGAGGAGGGACCACAGGGGCCATGTGGAAGCTGGCCGCCATAGTCTGTCCTTCCCACAGCCCCCCACCTCTTTGCCCCCCCCACCCTCCACCACACACACACACACACACTAACCCACCTGGCTCTCTCCCTCAGAGCCCTGCTGTGGGAGACGCCCAGGAGGTGACATACGCTCAGCTGGACCAGCGGGCCCTCACCCTCAGAGCAGCCCAGGCTGTGTCCCCACCACCCGCGGAGCCCCCAGCTGCTGCCAGCACATACGCAGAACTCCCCAGACGCTGACCCAACCCCTGGCCTCTGCTCCGACAGACACACATCACCCTTTTTTTAAAAAAATTAAATTCTTTATTGTTTAAAGTATTACCTAAGTCTCCTTTCCTCCCCATTGACCTCTCCCCAGAGGCCACCATTCCCCACAAGTCCCTCTTGCAAAGGCCTGAAACACCATTAGGGGGGGCTTCCCCGAGGAATCACCCCATTCTTGACGCCATCTTTTCATTTCTCCTGGAGGGGAGAGCTGGAGTGATGGGACCCCTACTCAACACCTAGGAGGTTCATGAACCAGGTGGCCTTTCCTACGGTCCACCAGCTCCTTAGAGCACCCATATAATACTTGTTTCCAGAGACCCAGTTCTGTTGTCCAGCCGTTTCTAGCAACCCAGCTACAGTTGTTCAGCAGTTTCCAGAGACCCCACTGCAGTTGGTGGCTCTTTCCATTGACCCACTTACAATCCTACAGTCACCCAGCTGGTTCCACCCATGTCCTGTGATTCCCTACCTTCTCCCCAGAGACTGTTGGAACCACCTTCTTAGCTGACTCTAACGATTTCCCACTTGTTGACCTTGGACCTGGGCCATACCGATGCAGTGAATCTCAGATGCCTCGTTGTCTCTGAATCCTGCTTCACCTTGCTCATCAATAAATGTTCTCACACACCCAGCTATGGCAGCCCTGCACGAGGCACTGGGGCACACGGTACCTGGTCCCCAGTGTCTGCCTCCACAGATGCTCAAAACTTAGTACAGTGGTGCCTCACACAACGAACTTAATTCGTTCCAGGAGCAAGTTTGTTATGCGAAAAGTTCGTTATGTGAAACGTGTTTTCCCATAACAATACATGTTAAAAAAAAATAATTCGTTCTGTAGCATAAAATATGCTAAGATGACATAAAAAAAGATAAATTTTTTTGTTATTATTTTTATTTAGATACATCTAAAAACATAATTTTTTTTAAAAAAAACACACATTTTTTTAATTTTAAGACAGACTAAGTAGAGTCTACCGAATCTTGCACATCTTCATCTATTTTCTGCTTTTTGGCCGATGGTTTCATGAAAAACCTGTCCAAAGTCGTTTGTTTTTCTCTTTTCTCCAACATCTGCCGGAAATAACGGACAAGAGTATCGGAGTAAAGATCGTTGATCCTGTTTGCTTCAGCTGAATCCGGATAGTGGGCATTGGTAAACTCCTGAACTGCTTTCCATTTGACCAGGATGTTCTTGATGTCAGCAGTTGGGATTGGTTGATTGTTTGATTGTTGCTCCTCATTATCAGATGACGCTTCCCTTTGAGCATTGTCCTGTTTCATTTCAACAGAAATCACCTTCCTGCTTTTTTTAGAAGCCATGATATAAAAAAAATATTGAGTTTAACTTAAAAGGACGACTGCCGTGATACGTGCGTGATTTAATTCGTAATGAAGAACGATTGCCGCGATGCGTGCTTAAGTTAAGCGCAGTGACTAACGACTGCCTGCGCGGAAGGATGCAATACATCGGCAGCGATCGTGGAAGCTCGGGCGAAGCAGTCGTGGAAGCTCGGGCAAAGCGGTCGTGGAAGCTCGGGCGACTTCGTTGTGTGAAACGAAGTTCATTGTATGAATCATGAAATGAAGTTCGTTGTGTGCAGTGTTCGCTGTGCGAGGCGTTCTTTATGCGAGGCACCACTGTAAGAGAATAAATACGGGGGGGGAAATGGCATCGATGATTTCTGAAATGAATGTGGTTCTTAGTCATGAGTGAGCAGGCATCTAAGGGGACGTTTGGCTGGGTGAGGGTGCAGAGCCTACACCCCACCCACACCACATGCACACACATGCCCACGAATGCACAAATGCACATACACACACACATATGCACACACAGGTACAGACGCATATACGTGCATACACCCACATCATGGTCACGTGTGGGCTGGGCACAGGCTTGGCGAGACCATGATGGCATGGGAGGGTCTCTTGGGCTGTTCGTCCACTCTGAGGGACATGGCGCATACCCACTTCCCATGCCCACCCCAGGTTCCTCCCCACTGGACACCTTCTGCACACCCCCCACTGGGGATCCAGCCCACAACCCTGGCCTGTGCCCTGACCAGGAATCGAACCCTGACCTCCTGGTTCCTAGGTCGATGCTCACCCACTGGGCCAGGCCCTGGGCTTGGTTTACTTGTCATTTCCCCCAAAGGGTGTCTCTCCCCACGGGGCTACACTGCGTGGACTCAAGGGGCAGCCCTGGGCCTGATGAGCTGTCTGCACTCAGGGGGAGGGCGGGGTCATTGGAGGGGAGGAGCTGTCAATCAGCGGGCTGTGGGACCCGCCCTCCGAGTGTGGGCGGCACCACCCACCCTCAGACCCAAAAGGGGAAGGAAGGGTTCAGTCTCCCTGAGCTGGGGCGCCTGTCCCTCTCTCCTGCTCCTCTCCCCTGCCCTCTCCCCTGCCCTCTCCCCTGCCCCTCTCCCCTGCCCTCTCCCCTGTCCTCTCGCCTGCCCCTCTCCCCTGCCCTCTCCCCTGCCCTCTCTCCTGCCCGGGGATGGACATCGGAGCTCCTGGTTCTCTCCCGCCGGTTCCAGTTCCTGGCCTTGGACTCGGGCTGAGCTGCACCACGGGCGCCTTGGGTCTCCGTGCAGAAGGCGGCGGGGACTCCAGCTTCCACAGCCGGTGAGCTGATCCTGTGCTCAGTCCCCTCCTTACTCTGTGCCCCAAGCTCAGAACCGTGGGTTCTGTCCCCCTGGAGGGCCCAGACCAAGGAACTCATAGGTGAAAAGTAAAGGGAGAGGGAGCGGGAGGGAGGGGAGAGGGAGAGGGTGAGAGAGAGAGGGAGGAAGAGGAGAAGGAGGAGGGGTAGGGGAGGAGAGGGGAGAGAGAGGGAGGGAAGGGGTTAAGGAGGAGAGAGGGGCAGTGGGAGGGCAGGAGAGAGAGAGAGAGACAGAGAGAGAGAGACAGAGAGAGACAGAGAGAGAAAGAGACAGAGATATTCAGAAATTCAATACAGGTTGTAACCCCAAGAAAACAAAGATGAAAACTGTAGGGTGAGGCCCTAACTGGTTTGGCTCAGTGGATAGAGCATCGGCCTGCTGACCGAAGAGTCCCGGGTTTGAATCCTGACAAGGCATATGCCAGTGTTGGAGGCTCAATCCCTGGTTTTGGGCGTGCAGGAGGCTTGCATCATTGATGTTTCTCTCTCATCATTGATGTTTCTATCTCTCTGTCCATCTCCCTTCCTCTCTGAAATTGTTACAAATATATATATATATATATATATATATATATATATATATATATATATATATATATATTATTGATTTTTTACAGAGAGGAAGGGAGAGAGAGAGTTAGAAACATCAATGAGAGAGAGTCATTGATCAGCTGCCTCTTTCACACCCCCTACTGGGGATATGCCCGCAACCAAGGTACATGCCCTTGACCGGAATTGAACCCGGGACCTTTCAGTCCCCAAGCCGACGCTCTATCCATTGAGCCAAACCGATTTCGGCTATATATGTTTTTTAAATAAAATAAAATGGAGCCGGAAGGCTGGGGACCCACTCGCTGAGGCGCATGGTCTGTGACTCAGAGCAGGGACTGGGCCCCCCCCCCCCCCCACGAGGGTCTGCACCCCTCACTCCTGAGCTCGCTGACCTTTGGCCGCTCAGGGAATGCCTGCTCCCTGGTTTTTGCAAGAAAAAACGGAGGAAGGACTGGAACAGGCCTCAGAGGGTTTGGCCCAGGATTCAATATGCAGTTTTGACAGAATAAAAGAGTTGCACCATTGTAACTGGCTGAGTCTTGGTTGAACTTTTAAAAAATATATTTTAATGTAGAATAACATGTCTAATGCCTGCAACAGCCATGCAGGCCTCCTCTTACCTTTTCTATCCAAACAGCAACAGCAAAAACCCACACAATTAATCCGCACGAGACGCGCGCGCCCCCTAGCGGTCCTCAGGATAACATCTCCTTGTAACCTGATGGGGCAGCTGGCTGGACCCCATAAGAGGCAGGAATGTGGGCACTTTCCGCCTTGGGGGCTGTGTCTCCCAGCTCTCCTAGCCAAGGATCCCGCTCTGGGGTCGGGGTGCCTCAGACCCCAAATGCTTCTTTGTGGAGATGGCTGGGGCCTTTGATGTAGTTTCCAGGAGGAGGAATTGGGGAGACAGGGTGAGCAGGCTTAGCAATGGCTGCTTTAATTCTTGCAATGGGCTCTGGGGTGGAGGGGGTGGTGCTAGCTGCCTGACCCCTGGTCTGGGGTGATTAGGGCAGGGGGTCATGACCCAGAGTGTAAAAGCCCCACAAAAGGGGAGGCGGGGTGAAGGCTCAGGATTGGAGGGTTTGTATGTGAAGGGGGACCCAGGAAGAGGATTCCTATATATGAACTCTGAAAGCATAATAATCTGGCCACTCCATATACAAATTGGAGTCCCCTCATTCTTTCTTTTTTTAAATTATTTATAGTTTAACGTTTTACATATGTCTCCTTTTTTTCTCCCATAGACCTCTCCCCCTCCCCTCCTCATTATTTCCATCCTCACCCCAGGATAACTTTTTCATTGATTGAGAGAGAGAGAGAGAGAGAGAGAGAGAGAGAGAGAGAGAGAGAGAGAGATGTGAGACACATGGATTAGTTGCCTCACACAGACACACCCCAAATGGGTTGGTGATAAAATCTGCATGGCTCAGTGCATGAATTCGTGCATGTGGGGTCTGACCTGCCTGGCCAGGGGGAGGGAACATGGGTTGTTGGCTTGCCTGCCTGTTGGTCTAAATCCTGTTTGAGGGGACAATTTGCATATTAGCCTTTTATTATACAGGATTATATAGGATATACACTGTATGGCCAGATTACAATATTATGCATTCAGAGATCAAAACAATCTGGCCACTCAGTGTATATATTTTTATTCCTCACCCAAGGATATTTTTCCATTAATTTTTTAGAATGAGTGGGAGAGAGAAGGAAAGGCAGAGAGAAACATCGATGTGGGAGAAACATATTGGTTGGTTGTCTCCTACTTGAGCCATGACCAGGGACAAGGCTGGAAAGAAGCCTGCAACCAAGGTGCGTGTCCTTGACCAGAATCAAACCTGGGACCCTTTGGTCTCCAGGCCGATGCTCTATCCACTGAGCAACACCATCCAGGCAGAAAGAAGATTCTGCTCAGGGATTGGGGCAGCAGTGAGGAAGGCAGAAGGCCAGTGCCAGGTGACACAGGCTCGTACAGGGTCACCCAGGACATGGTGTGCCTGACGGACACCTGTGAGAGGGATGCTAAAGCGTCAGGTTGACAGACGCCTGACACATGGCCCAACAAGGAGGCACCGCAGGCTCTGCTCCAGGCAGTCCTCCTGGGCACCAAGGGCCAGCTTCACGGGGTGGCTCCCAGGGTCACCCAGGACATCGGGGTCCAGCAGCAGAGGGGAGAGCCCACTGACAGAGTGGAAGCCCAGGGACAGACATGGTGCTGAGGACAGAATGACAGCCCCAACGATGTCCACGTCCCACTCCCTGGAGCCATCTGGTGACTGCAGATCGGAAGGTGAGCCACGGGTCCAGGTGGACCCATGTCACCACAAGGGTCCTTCTTAGAGGGAGGCAGGAGGCTCAGAGACGGAGGGACGGAGACGTTCCTGGTCAGAGAGCAGGATTGGAAGAAGCTGTAGTGCTCCTTGGTGATGGAGGAAGGGGCCGCAAGCCAAGGAGAGTGGGCGACCCCTTGGAGCTGCCAAAGGTAACCAGACGGATTACTGCCCCCGAGGGAGGGCCAACCCACCAGCACCCTGACCTTCGCCAACAAAACTCACTTCAGGCATCTGGCATCCTGACCTGGGAGATAATACACTGTGTTGTCTGGAGCCAGGGAGTGTGGGATGATTTGTTATAGCAGCAACAGAATGTGAATACTCTCACTTTAGGGGAAGAGTCGAGGCAAACATACTGGGCAAAGCAGCAGCTAATCCGGGCCTGGAAGGGCATTAGGTAGGGGAGGGGAGGGAGGTCAGACCAAGGACAAGGCTGGAGAGCTGGGTAGGTGCAATTTGTTGGGAGAATGCATGGTGTCCACGAGGAGGAAGCTGGGGTGGGGACAGGAAGTGGAAACAGGCCATGTCTTTCAGAGTGGACTAACAGCCGGAGAGACCCTCCCGTGCCATCATGGCCTCCCCAAGCCTGTGCCCAGCCCACACATGACCATGATGTGGGTGCATGCATGTATATGCGTTTGTACCCGTGTGTGCATGTGTGTGTGTATGTGCAGTTGTGCATTCGTGGGCATGTGTGTGCGTGTGGTGTGGGTGGGGTGTAGGCTCTGCACCCTCACCCCACCAAACGTTCCCTTAGATGCCTGCTCACTCATGACTAAGAACCACACTCTTTTCAGAAATCTCCGATGCCATTTTTTTCTGTCTTTATTCTCTTACTGTTTTGAGCATCTGTGGAGGCAGACACCGGGGACGAGGTACCGTGTGCCCCAGTGCCTCATGCAGGGCTGCCATAGCTGGGTGTGTGAGAACATTTACTGATGAGCAAGGTGAAGCAGGATTCAGAGACAACGAGGCATCTGAGATTCGCTGCATCGATATGGCCCAGGTTCAAGGTGAACAAGGGGAAAGTGGTTAGAGTCAGCTAAGAAGGTGGTTCCAACAGTCTCTGGGGGGTGGGGGAGGATTCACAGGACATGGGTGGAACCAGCTGGGTGACTGTAGGACTGTAGCTGGGTCTCTGGAAACAGCCCACCAAGTGTAGTGGGGTCTCTGGAAACTGCTGAGCAATAGTGGTTGGGTCTCTGGAAACTGTGGGCACCAGTAGTTGCATCTTCAGAAACTGCTGGACATCAGTAGCTGGGTCTCTGGAAACTGTTGGACAACTGTAGCTGGGTTGCTAGAAACTGCTGGACATCAGTAGCTGGGTCTCTGGAAACTGTTGGACAACTGTAGCTGGGTTGCTAGAAACTGCTGGACAACAGTAGGTGGGTCTCTGGAAACAAGTATTATATGGGTGCTCCAAAGAGCTGGTGAACTGTAGGAGGGGCCACCTGGTTCATGAACCTCCTAGGTGTTGAATGGGGTCCCCAGACTCCAGCTCTCCCCTCCAGGAGAAATGAATAGATGGCAACAATAGTGGGGTGATTCCACAGGGAAGCCTTCCTGGTGGTGCTTCAGGCTTTTGCAAGAGGGACTTGTGGGGAATGGTGGCCTCTGGGGAGAGGTCAATGGGGAGGAAAGGGGACTTACGTAATACTTTAAACAATAAAGAAGTTAATTAAAAATAAAAAAAAGAGTGGCGTGTGTCTGTCGGAGCAGAGGCCAGGGGTCGGGTCAGCGTCTGGGGAGTTCTGCGTATGTGCTGGCAGCAGCTGTGGGCTCCGCGGGTGGTGGGGACACAGCTTGGGCTGCTCTGAGGGTGAGGGCCCGCTGGTCCAGCTGAGCGTATGTCACCTCCTGGGCGTCTCCCGCAGCAGGGCTCTGAGGGAGAGAGCCAGGGTGGGTTAGTGTGTGGGGGGCAAAGGGGGGGGGGGGCTGTGGGAAGGACAGACTATGGTGGCCGGCTTCCAGGTGGCCCCAGTGGTCCCACCTCCGGAATCTCCATTGTGGAGTTCCCTTCCCCATAGAATCTGAGTTCTGGGATATGACAGAGGGAGAGCATGCCACCTCCATGGAGTGGCCTCCAGACACATTGGGCTTCTGTCTTCCCTTCCTGGGGCCCCGCCCTCTGAGGGAGGTGGCTGCCAAGGAGAACCCCACGTGTGGAGGAACAGAGGCCTCCCGCCCACAGCCTAAGAGGGTGCCATCTTGCACGTAGACCTGCAGCCCCAGTCCAACCTTCAGATGAATGCAGCCCATCATCGTGACAGCAGCCTCGTGAGAGTCCGTGAGCCAGAACCACCCAGCAGATTCAATCTGCTTCCAAATTCCAGCCCAAGAAACTGAGATACTTGTGTGAAACTGTTCAAGTTGAGGAACTTTGGCCCTGGCTGGTGTTTCCCGTGGTTAGAGTGTTGGTTATAGAACGAAGGGTCACAGGTTCAGTCCCAGCCCTGGTCGAAGCCCGTGTGGGAGATAACCAGTCTCTGACACCTCAATGTTTCTCTCTTTCTCCCTCTCCCTTTCCCCCTTCCACTCTTCTTGAAAAATCAACGAAGATATATCCTCAGGTGAGCATTAAAAACACACACACACAAAAAAAAAAACAAAACAAAAAAAAACAACAACGATGGGATATGACGTGGTTACACAGAAATAGGTGACTAATCCAAGGACTTACTGGGCTCTGCAGCTCCCTCTTCTTCTCAGAAAGTGCATAGACTGTGGCCTCATCTGAGGGAGAAGAGAACAACAGTCAGATCTTTGGGGTGAAATTTGCCTGAAACCTCACGGGTTTAGGTCTCAACCTCCAGCTACAACATCCAGTCATCTTGCCTCCTCCCCATTGCTTCCTCAATGGGCTCAATGCCACTCCCCTTTCCCCAAGCAGTTACCTCTCTTTGTCCCTTACCTGGTGTGCTCTCTGTTATGTCAGCAGCCGGATTGAGCCTGAGGAGAAAAACAAGAGAGTACGGGGTGGTGGTTGGGGTGGGGTGCTCTGGAGGCAGAGACCCTGGTGGGGGGTCTGTGGGTCATTCTCTCAGGGGTCCTCACCTTTCCTGGGGCCTCTGCTCCTCGCCTTTGCTGTGGAGGGACTCTGAGGACAATCAGGGTGTGAATTAGGAGGGAGGCCATCTCCCCAGCACCCCACACAGCCTTCCCAGGTCACCCCACCCTGACCCTGAGACCTACTGTGTTTTCTCTGATGCTGACGGTTGACTAAGAAGAGGACCAGCAGAAGGAGACAAAGGAGAAAGGCCACGGAGGTCCCAACAAGGATGTAAATGTATGTGCTCGACAGGCCTGGAAGGGTAGTGAAGATAGAACCACAGTATCTGCAGGATGCATGTATGGAGCACCAACTGCATCCCATGCATATGCTGGGTGCCTGTCATGTTCACACTGATGTATCTAATCTCCCACATGCCTGGTAGTCCTGTGGCATGGGATCTGCCGGAAGCCTATTCCAGCATGTCATAACTGCAAGAGTTTCATCAAAAGGTTGATGAAGCTTGGGGGTTCAACAAGGACTGAGACTCATATGTAATCACCTGTGGGAATGGCTGAAAGGCACTTCCTCCGTACCTGAATAGGATGAGTGTTTGCTGCCAGACAGCTCAGGGCTTCTCAATCTACATGTTATTGCCTCCTGTTGGCCAAACACCTGAACAGCTGTGGGCTATTCCCCAATCTGACAATGCATCTGAACACCCTACCCTCTGAAGTGTATTATCTCCACTTTGCCTTAGGACAAATTTGTGTTAATAAAAAGCAAGGGGTCCTGAGTCAAGGAGAATCTCCTTTCTTCAGCCAGGCTCCTCAGACCCCCAATGCCTTTCAAAATTATCTTTCATCTCTGGACTCCTACTTAATCTACACACAGCCTTTCTCCAGAATGCTGAACCCTTCTTAATGCTGGAACAAGAACCCTGGCAGGGACCCATCATCCTCATTTTACTAAACCAGGGTCCTGGGTGTGGACGCCCTCTGTCCACAGGGTGTTGACAGAGCTAAGGTGTGGACAACACCCAAGCCCATTCTTTCCCTTCCCCACGAGGCACACTACGGGTCCTGCTCCTCTGGCCCTGGGCTTGGCGCATGCACTGTGTGTCCATCCCACCTTTTACCAGGCACCTGCTCTGCGCGTGCACACAGCGCCGCCCATTTCACAGGTGATCAGACTGAGGTCCCAGGGCTGGTTCACGCACAGGGTGTGAGTCCCCTGTTTCCTCTTCTGGAGCAGCACCCGCGTGTCCTCACATCCCGTAAGAAAGCAGGAGACTTCCCCTGCCTGGTCCTCCCTCCTGGACACCTGAGACAGCTCAGGACCCAGGACCCAGGATCCAGGACTCACCCCTGTTCCACACACCACCGCCTGTCCTTCCCTTTAAGGCATTTAGCACAATTTACACTTAGATGTATACGCCATATGTGCATCATGTATGCACTATGTGTAACGTGACCTATTTATAACAAAATTAGTGGGTGTACGTGTATACTTAAAATTATGCGATTTCATTTATGCCTTTATAATTTGAACTACATAAATATTTAAAAATACAAATTTAAAAGAACTTATACTATGTAAGATATCACATATCAATTACACATGTTATTATATAACATATGGTGCGTATTTATGTTCACATTTGCATATATTGATTGTAGTAATACATGATATAATTTAACATAATATTCATTTGTAAGGTGCTTATTATATCTATCATAATATTGATATAGTTAATGTATAATCAACTATATACACCAACATAAATTATAGAACTGAAACTTTACCTTGTAAGTTGCATATTTGTTAGTGGCCTTGGGAATGAAATTTGTGCATGGGGGGGAGGGGTCCTTCAGCTTGGCCTGCACTGTCTTCAATCTGGGACCCCTTGGGGGATGTCAAACTGCCAGATTAGGCCCAATCCCACATTGGGCCTCATCTGCCAGTCTGACATCTCTCTCACAATCCTAGACTGCTGGCCCCTAACGCTTGCCTGCCTGCCTTTCTGATTGCCCCTACCCACTTCTACCTGCCATCCTGATCACCCCCTAACCACTCCCCTGCCAGCCAAATTGATGCCTAACTGCTCCCCTGCCGGACCCATTGCCCTCTACTTCTCTTCTCCCCGCCCCCCTCAGCCTGGTTTCCTCAAAGTGCCCCCCTCCACACCAGTCTGGTGGCTCCATGCAGCCTGCTCTTTGTTTGTTACTGTTACTGTAACGGCATCACAGACAATTTGCATATTCCTCTATTATTAGTATAGATATTTGTCCATATGGACATACTAGAGGCCCGGTGCATGAAATTTGTGCACTCAGTGGGGGTTTCCCTCAGCCAGCCTGCCCCCTCTTGCAGTCGGGAAGCCCTCAGGGGATGTCAGACTGCCACCACCACTGTGCTCGCCAGCCATGAGCCTGGCTTCTGGCTGAGTGGCACTCCCCTGTGGGAGTGCACTGACCACATGGGGGCAGCTCCTGTGTTGAGCGTGTGCCCCCTGGTGGTCAGTGCCCATCATAGTAACCAGTTGTTCCGCCGTTTTTATTATATAGGATGTGCATTTCTTGTTGTTCATTCTAATTAATTCTCCCCATTAGAGTTGGGAGGATGGAGCCTGAAACCCAGCACTGAGCCCCCCTCCGAAACCCCTCCAAGCTGAGGTCTCTACTCACCAGCTGAGGAGTGGGTCTCTGTATGTGTGTTGGGGGTGGAGCTGGGGGTGGAGCTGGGGGTGGAGCTAAGAACTGGGGTGGCTCCTGTGAACAGGACAGGGGGAAGGGCTGACGTTCTGTAGGGCTGCCTGGGTTCCTCCAACACATCCTGGCCCCCCTCCACCCTGAGTGTCCACCACCCACAGCCACGTCTGTCTCTCACTCAATCCCAGAAGGCACCTGAGCTGTGGGGGGTCCAGGAGCCAGCAGCTCTTGGCCTCACAGAATCTCAGGGAGCAGCTCCCATGAGGCCCAGGACATGGGGGGGGGGGCCTGATGGGCCCTGAGTCCAGGAGGTATTGGGAACTGACCACACACAGGGAAGGTCAGCTTCATCCCCCAAATCCCATAGGGCAACGCCCCGCCCTGGCCATGCTCCCCGACCATGCCACTTGCCCGTGGAGGGCGGACCCCAGGGGACACATTGCCATTTCACCCCCCCTTCCCCAAGAGACCACCCCCTTTAACCCCTCCAGGGGACTGAGTTCTCATCCCTCCAGTGACTTCTCCACGTGACATTAAGACCCAAATCTGATGGCCTCATGGGCTTTCCTCAGGTGACCGCGGACCTGTCAGAGCCTGGCCAGGGGAAAGGGCAGGGCACCCCCACCCTGAGAGGAAAGACTCAGGGCCCCTTGAAGGGTCTGTGCCCACCTGGTGGCTGGGAGCTCAGGCCCCACCCAGCCCAGCAGGAACAGCTCTGTGTCCCCTCTGAGGCAGGGCTCAGGGTCCAGGCCACCGTGCTGTCCAGAGGGGACCAGATTCCAGGGCCCTGAGCCAGGGTGAAGGCCGAGGGTCCTGTGTGCAGAGGGAGGGGAGCCCCAGGGTTGGGGGTAAGCAGGAGGCCAGGGAGGCTGAGTACAGAGATGTGGCTGGGACAGGGTGCGGGGCCCTGGGACCCACCTGGGGGCTGAGTGGAGATGTCCTCCTCTCTCACCTGCAGTTGCAGGGTGTCACTGCGCTCAGACCAGCCAGACTCTTGTTCATAGAGGCAGCTGTAATTCCCCGCAGCGTGTTCATTCACCACGGGGATGCGGAATCTGGCCTCTCTCCCCTGCCGATCATCTTGAGGCACACTTTTCTGATCAGAGACTTTTTGTGCTTTACCCTTCTCCAGGCGGAATAACCTTGCCCCAGCTGGGCCCTAGCACACGAAGGTCACAGGCTGTCCCCGGGGGATCACAGGGCCTGGCTCGGCCCTGAGGGAGGGCTTGGGCAGGGCCCCTGGGAGAAAGCAGAGCAGGATCTCAGGATTTCATCGTGAGGAAATCTCCAACCTCACACGGCCCGTGTTTCCAGCGTGCAGGTTAATGTTCTTAGCAAATCTGTAGAGCTGTGCAACTATGTCTGCAATCTAATTTTAAGCCATTTCACACACACACACCCCTTTCCCAAGAGGCCACGCTCTCTGCTCCTCCAGGGGACTGAGTTCTCATCCCTCCAGTGACTTCTCCACGTCACACAAGAACCTGAGTCCTAGTGGCCTCGTGAGCTTTTTCTAAGGGACCGGGGAGATGTCAGAGCAGCTGTCCCCACGGCCACTCTCCAGGGGGACAGACAGGGCTGGGAGGGGGCAGAGGGTGAGGATGAGCGGGTCACTCGTGGAGACAGGGACGCTGGAGTCTGAGATGGTGGGAATGACCTGGCCGGGTCTGAGGGCAGCTGGGGAGATTGTGGGGACCAATGGGGGCTGCATTGCCCCATGGGAAGTCTAGAGGAGAAGGGGGTTGGGAGTAGAGCTCCAGCCCAGACCTGCTCACAGGACCCCAGTTGTGTGAACACCCCCACCCATGACTGCAGGGCATGTTCTCTGAGCAGCACTCACTGAGGTTCCCTCTGCATTTCCCACCTCCCTCTCAGCCCGTTTCCCCTTCCTTGTGACGGAGGCTCCTGCAACCCCACGTGTCTAAACTGGGCAGGGAGGGGAAGAGAGGGCTCTGGCCCTGAAACAGGAAGAAGGCATCCCAGTTACCCAACCCCTGAGAGACAGAGCTGGCCACCCCCACCACTCATTCCCTCTGTCCCTCCTTCCCTCATTCCTTCAGCCACAGCTCAGCTCCTGTCTCCCCTTTACCGACGCCTCCTTGTGCCTTTGGCCCCACAAACAAGAGAAACACAGGAGGACCCCAGCCTTCTTGGGCGGAATGTGGGGAGAGGGGGCACAGGGTGAGTGTGGGGGCTCAGGGTGAGTGTGGGAGGCTCAGGGTGAGTGTGGGGGCTCAGGGTGAGTGTGGGGGTGTCAGGCTGAGTGTGTAGGCTCATAGTGAGGGGGGCAGAGCTGACCTCTCCTCAGAGGCAGAGAAGAGAGGCCCTGAGCTGAGACCAAAGGCCAAATATGAATAAGCTAAGCTGAGCTACATGAGCCCTCAGCCTGGGAGGGGGTCATGGTAGAGACAGAACATGAAGTTTGTGGAAGTGACAGGAAGGCTGAGTTTCTGAAGCTAACTTAGCCAGAGGGCGTGAGGACAGACAGATGCAGACAAGGAGAGATGTTCAGGCTCATTCCAGCTGAAGACACACCAGGAGAGAACTCTAAGGAAAATCAATATTTTGCCTGAACATAAAACATGTCTGAAAAACTCCATTTAAAAAGGGGGACTCACCCTCCTGCGTGTGGATCATCTGGCCCAGACAGAGCACTGCAAGGGAAGGGCTGGTGAGGACAACGCCCAGCACCCAGGTCCTCCCCGGTCTGCAATCATGGGGCCTTCCTGGAAGCAGCAGGCCCGGCCTGGAGAATCTCCCAGGCTCCCTCCTCAGCATCCCCTCTGAGCACAATCCTGCTTCCTGCTCTGGGTTTCCAGATTAACCCCCACCCTCTCCTCCAATCAGGCCCTCAGTCAGACCCTGTCCCCATGCCCAGGCCCCTGCCTCCCGGGGTCACACGTAGCTCAGGGCCAGTGCTGAGGGGCCAGGCCGCCAGGAGGGACCAGGAGTCTCCTGGGCTGGGGTCAGACTGAGCAGGGACGGAGACACCTCCCCCAGCCACCACCCCCTCGGCCCCTGGGATGCAGTCCCTCCATCCAGGACTCACCGAGGCCCAGGAGGGTGGAGGGCCAGGGGCCCATGGCCAGCCCTGCAGCCTGCACAGCCCCGGAGTCAGGAGTGGGAGGGCAGAGCCCGCAGCTGGCACAGGGCACAGGATGTGTGGGTCAGGCGCTCCCGTCGTTGCTACATCAACGTCTCTGTCCAAAGGGGAAGAAGACCTCCCTCCAGGCCTTCCTGCTAGAGAAGGGGAGGGCTGTGGCTTCCCCAGCCGTCTCTCCCTCCCTCCTAATTCTCCCCCCCTCCCTGTCCCCCTGCCTGCCATGGCCTCCCACCTGCAATGGGGGCACTGAGCTCACCTGGGGATGAGCCCTGAGCGTGGACCTCCCTCCGACCTGCAGGACGAGGCCCTGCGTGGGTTTGTGCAGCCAGCTGACCTCAGACCAACCCCCGGCTGCGGGTTCCAGCGTCACTATCGGACCCCCTGGGCTTGTGCAAGGTGCTAGTTACTCCACCTCATGCGGACACGTCCTCATATGGGAAATGGAGAGCCTGCCGAAACCGTTTTTGGCTCAGTGGATAGAGGGTCGGCCTGCGGACTGAAGGTCCCAGGTTCGATTCCGGTCAAGGGCATGTACCTTGGTTGCGGGCACATCCCCACTTGGGGATGTGCAGGAGGCAGCTGATCCATGTTTCTCTCTCATCGATGTTTTTAACTCTATCCTTCTCTCTTCCTCTCTGTAAAAAATTATATATATATATATATATATATATATATATATATATATATATATATTTTTTTTTAAGAAAGAAAATGGGGAGCCTGCCCTCTCCCTCCATGAGTTTGAGGACAGGCTACACTCCCAGCCTGGCCAGGGCGGGGCTCGGTGGGTGAGCATCCACCTGGGAACCAGGAGGTCAGGGTTCGATTCCCGGTCAAGGGCACAGGCCCCGGTTGGGGACCCCATCCCCAGCGTGGGGTGTGCAGGAGGCTGCTGGTTCCATTCCCGGCCCAGGTTGGGGTGCATGTGGAAGGCAACCCATCCTTGTGTCCCTTTCACATCGATGTTTCTCTCTCTCCCTCCCCTACCCCCTCACTTTCCCTCTCTCTAACAACATTCATGGAAAAAATATCCTCGGGTGAGGATTAACAACAACAAAAATTAAAAAATATAAACAAACATGTATCCTACTGCCCTAGCCCTACGTGGTTTGACTCAGTGGATAGAGCATCAGCCTGCAGACTGAAGGGCCCCAAGTTCAATTCTGGCCAAGGGCACATGCCTGGATTATAGGCTCGATCCTCCCAGCCTCCAGCAGGAGGGCGGGGGGGAGAGAATGGGGTGGGGGGGAGCATGCAGAAGGCAGCCAATCCATGATTCTTATCATTGATGTTTCTATTTCTCACCCTTCCTCTCTGAAATCTTACCTAATAAGAGAAACATGCAAATTAGCCATCACTCCACTAAGCCCACAGCCAATCAGAGTGAATATGCAGATTAACCCAACACAGATAGAGGTTAGTTTGCATATGCAGAGCATGTGAAGCTTGCTGTGAGGGGAAGGGGGGACAGAGGAGCGGTGCTCCAGACAGAAGGAAGGGCTTGCCAGCTCCCACGTGGCTGGGAGTGAAGCCAGGGGCCTATTCTTGCATGAATATCGTGCAACGGGCCTCTAGTCAATAATAATTTTTTAAAAAAATACATATCCTGCTAACAAGAGTTCTCTTCCCACTCCTCCAGTGGCAACGGAAACAGGAGAGGGTAGGGTGACCTGATGGGATGGAAGGGTCAGGAGAGAGACTGAGGGAGCTGGGCCTGGGGGTGGCACCATCTGGGCCCCCCATGGCCGCTGGGAGAATGGGCAGGGCCGGGTGGGGGAGGGATCCGTGCCCTGCAATGGCAACTCTATTGCAATCGAAGCACATCAGACACCGTTCACTTTAAAATTTCACAATTCCTATGCCAATCGCAACTCAACTCTAAGGAGAAAGAGGTGTTTGCATCAGAAGGCTTGGCATATGGAGACACCCCTAGGCTGAGTGGCCCTCCTCGGGGGGACTGCGATGGGGTCATGACCCCCCCCCCATGAACAGACCGGTGGCTGGCACTGCCCGTGGGTGGATCCGGGGCCCGTCTGCATGCTGCTGACCTGGGTCTGGCCCTCCGGCACAGAGCAGCTCCTCAGAGTCCTACTTCCCTTTTGTAAAAATAGACTTTTATTGATGTCAGAGAGGAAGTGAGAGAGAAGAGAGAGTGGAGAGGGGAGAGGGGAGAGAGGGAGAGAGGGAGAGAGGGAGATGAGAGAGGGAGGAGAGGGAGAGGGGAGAGAGGGAGAGGGAGAGAGGGAGAGAGAGAGAAGGGGGGCAGAGAGAGAGAGAGGAGAGAGGAGAAAGAGAGAGGAGAGAGGAGAGAGAGAGAGAGAGAGGAGAGAGAGAGAGAAACACCCATGATGAGAGGGAATCTCGGATCGGCTGCCTCCTGCATGCCTCATGCTGGGGATGGAGCCTGCACCCCGGGCAGGTGCTCTTAACCGGGAATTCCAACTGTGACCTCCTGGTGCCTGGGGTGGACGCCCCGCCACGAAGCAAAGACCTGTTCCTGAGCGTTCCCAAATGGGGTGTCTGCAGTGGGCTCTCCAGGACAGGGTCTGGTCCCACCAGGCCCAGGGGGGTCTCTGTGTCCTGGAGATTACAGGAGACGCACAGGCAACCCCCACTGCCTCCCCCCCTCTCCCCCCCAGTCATCCGGATGAGCCCCTCCTCCCCATGTCCCCAAACTTGTGCGCCCAGCCTGGAAAACAACCTGGGGTGGAGGGGTGGGGTTAGGGGGTCAGAGGTGGACTCACCCACTTGCGTCGGGGTCCCCCGGCCTCGATGGAACCAGGAAGGAAGACCTTACCACAGCGCACCCATCTGGGTCTGAGGCCAGGCTCCGGGGACCGGGCACCCGGTCCAGCACGGCCTGCACTGGGCGGTGCACGCAGGCGGGCTCAGCTCCCCACGGGTTCCCACGCAGCCCCGTGGGGTGCAGGGCCACGTGCTCAGAGCAGGGTTTTTTCCAGCAGCACCCCCTCCTCCCTGCGTCCTCCGGATTCCCGGAGACACGTAGGAGGCCACGGGCGGGCGCGGCGGGTGCAAAGCGCCTGAGCTGCTCCGAACCAGCGCAGGAGGCGGCCCCGCGGTCAAGCGCGCAGGATGTGGTGCGCCCGCGGCCTCGGCAGAAATCGGACTCAGGAAGCGGCTTCCCACCCCATCCTGGGCGAGTCCCCAGCCTCCCCGGGTGGGGCCCAGCAACGGGCCCCGCTTCCTGGACAGGAGCCCCTGGTCGGCCGTGCCAGGCACCCCCTCTACCAATCAGGCCCTCACTGGGGGGCAGCCCATCTCCCACCTGGGCACGGTGTGGTTTTATCTCGTGCTGAACTCCTAGCGACACTTAATTTTTTAAAATATATTTTATTGATTTTTCACAGAGAGGAAGGGAGACGGATAGAGAGGTAGAAACATCGGTGAGAGAGAAACATCGATCAGCTGCCTCCTGCACACCCCCCACTGGGGATGTGCCCACAACCAAGGTACATGCCCTTGACCAGAATCGAACCTGGGACCCTTGAGTCTGCAGGCCGTCACTCTATCCACTGAGCCACACCTGTGAGGGCAGCACTTAATTTTTTATTTTTATTTTTTAAATAAGTGGTAACTGCTTTTAAGTTTACAGAATGCAATCCTTCCTCTCTGGTTACAAAGTCTTGGCTATTTCACTCACTACATGCTTTTAATTATTTTTTTTAAATATATTTTATTGATTTTTTTTTTTTACAGAGAGGAAGGGAGAGGGATGAGAGAGAAACATGGATCAGCTGCCTCCTGCACACCCACCCCCCCCTCCCGCTGGGGATGTGCCCGCAACCAAGGTACATGCCCTTGACTGGAATCGAACCTGGGACCCTTAAGGGACATGGGCGGTTGGCTGGCCTGCCTGCTGGTCGAACTCCTGGTGGAGGGGACAATTTGCCTATTAGCCTTTTATTCTATAGGCTATACACGGAGTGGCCAGATTATTATGCGTTAAGAGATCATCATCATCTGGCCACTCCGTGTAAGTCTGGGCGTGTAATTGTTTTGCTGATGCTGTGCAATTCGACTCTTGTGGGAACCGCCAAACATTTTCCAAAGGGATCACTTGCCTCTGGCTGGTGAGGCTCAGTGGGTTGGGCGGTGTCTTGTCCACCCAAAGGTCACCAGTTCAGTTCCTGGTCAGGGCATGTGCCTGGGTTGCTGGCTGGAACCCTGGTCAGGGGCGTGCAGGAGGCAGCCCGTGGATGTTCAGTTCTCACATTGATGTTTCTCTCTCCCTACTTCCTCCCTCTCTCTAAAAATCAATTTTTTTAAATCTTAAAACAAACAATCAAGAAAGCAGAGTGACGGTATCAGTTCATACCAGTGAATTTCAGTGTCCTGGTCACCTTCTCAGCCACCTCGTCAAGTCCCCACCCCTTGGTTTTAGCTACTCTGCGGGGGACAGAGGCACCTCGTGGGTTTAGCTCGCTTGTCTCTGATGACTAAGACCCCTGGGGACATTTCCCTGGGGTTTGGGTGGATTGGGGGCCCCTTTTATTTCTGTAAACTGTCGATTTGGGTGTTTGTTTGTTTTTTCTCATTTCCTCATTTAAATATTTTTGGTTTTTTTCTGTGTGGTATTTTTGGTGTTTTGTGTGTGTGTGTGTTTGTACAGAGCTTTCAATTTCCCTGTTTTGCCTATGAGTTCCTTTTTCAGAGGCACTCACTGCTAGTACCCTGTTTCCCCTAAAATAAGACAGTGTCTTATATTAATTTTTTCTCCAAAAGTTGCGCTAGGTCTTATTTTCGGAGGATGTCTTATTTTCGGGGAAACATGGTACCTACTCATCTAGCTGAGGTTACACTGTCTGGCTGGTGTATTTTGAAGAACAGGATTTTCAAATCTCATTATAATCCAGTTGATCTATATTTTTTCATTTATATTAGAGAGGGAGGGGGCGAGAGAGAGAGAGAGAGAGAGAGATGTGAGAGACATGAGTCGGTTGCCTTCCATACCTGCCCTGACTGGGGATCAAACCTGAAACCTGGCATGTGCCTGACTGGGGAATCGAACCCATGACACTGGAGGTCACCTTTCGTTTCCCAGGCAAGAGTGCATGCCAGAGTTGTGGGCTCCATCCCCAGTAGGGAGTGTGCAGGAGGCAGCCAACTGGTGATTATGTCTCATGGTTGGTGTTTCTGTCTCTCTCTCCCTCTCCCTTCCTCTCCGAAATCAAGAGATGATCTCACTCATCTAGGGGAAATGGTGAACAACATAGACAGATGAACAAGAACAGACCCAGAGAGAAGGAGCCAGACGGTTGGACCTCAGAGGGAGGGTGGGGATAAAAGGGAGAGATCCACCAAAGGACTTAAGTGCATACATATGAGCCTAACCAGTGGTCAAGGACAATAGGGGGGTGGGGGCAGCAGTGGTGGTGGGGATTGGAATGTGGGGGTTGAGGACAAATATGTGATACCTTGATC